TTTTGAAAGGTAGCCAAGAATGTTTTAGAGGTTGTTATACTTAATGTGTTCTCAGGTATTAAAAGAAAAAAATCGGCCAGGCGTGGTGGCTTATGCCTGTAATCCCAGCACTTTGGGAGGCCAAGGCGGGTGAATCATGAGGTCAGGAGTTCCACACCAGCCTGGCCAAGATGGTGAAACCCTGTCTCTACTAAAAATACAAAAATTAGCCAGGTATGGTGGTAGGCACCTGTAATCCCAGCTACTCGGGAGGCTGAGGCAGAGAATTGCTTGAACCTGGGAGGCGGAGGTTGCAGTGAGCCAAGATCGCACCACTGCACTCCAGCCTGGGTGACAGAGTGAGACCCTGTCTCAAATAAACAAAAAGAAAAAAAAATTTTAATTAAATTTACACTTCACACACCTGGTCAATGAAATGGAATTATCCTAATTAAGTTCCTCCCCAAACCTTGGTGTTCCTTTTTCTCCCAGAAAATTGCATTTGTCGATTTAGGATTGTTGAAAAAGAATCCCTCAGTGTTCTACCCTTCTTCCCCAACCTGTCTGGCATCAGTGGGAAAGCAAGGAATTTTCGGCCATCCATTCTACCTGTAACCCAGGGTTGTGTTGGTGACAGTGACTAGGAACTGCTCCTGTTCCCTCCAGAGCCATCTGCCTTCATAGACAGGCTTGGAGCTGAGGGCCTCTCATAGCTCACCACATCACTGAAGCCCCCACATACTTCTCAGGTTACCATTTCTGAAACTGGAAGAGTTTTATAATCATATTATCTGTTACTGGGTCAGAGGGCAAGAGAGAACAGAGGAAGTTGATAATTTTTTGGCCAAGTTTTTTTTTTTTTAAATACCTTTCAAACTAATAGAGAAGCTCTATTTATAGGCATAATTGGCTTTTACTTTAAAAATGTATTAAAATCAGAAAATAATACTACATCTGACATTCTCGTGGGGGAAATGGCTAATCATGTATGAAAGCAGATATTCAGTCATCCACTGTTTGTTTGCAGTAATATTCAGCCTGTCATTCAAGTAACTTTAGGGCTTTTCTTCAGTATCTAGGTTACTTCTCTTTATTCACCAAATGCTTGTAAATGCAAAATAGAAAGTGCATATTATTAATTTGAATTCTAATGTTTATAATGAGACCATATGCAAAAACTTTAATTTTATCTATTACAGAAATAATTGAAAATGCAGTAAAAGAAAAATCAATGCTCACATAACTCCCTAGTTTATGAAATACGTTTGTATACATTATCTTACAACCTACATCTCTGTACGGTAATTGGGACAAATATTTGGTTTCTTCATTTGACAGAGAAGAGAGCCAAGATTCAGAAATGTTAATATTCAAGTTCATGGTTCTACCACTTACTGGGTGATCTTGAACTAGGCCCTTAATCACTCTGTGTAATTTCCTTAAATATGAAGCAGAATTCAAAATAGGGCCTACTGCATAGGGTGTGTGTGAAAATGAAATGAGTTAACTTAGAACAGTATCTGGTACACAGTAAATCTCAACAAATGTTAGCTATTAGCTGTTATTATCACACAGCTAGTAAATGTTAGGACTTGTACCCAAATCTAGAGCTTCTGTCTCCTAGTCCAGAACGCTTTTCATAGTACCATGTGCAATTTACCTTTTAGTAAATCATTGAATGAATTTCTGCCTCACATTGATCTTGTTATTCTTGAAGGGATCTTTTTCTACTTCGTTTACTTTGACTTTAAATTTCTCAAGATCAAAAGAGAAATGTGTTTGAAAGATTCTTCCTGATTTTTAAAAATCCTCTGATTTCTGTTGTCATCTGGGTTTGCTTGAACTCAATTGAAGTATCAGAAGGTGTTTTAGCAGGTGAAGATATCATAAAGTTGTTTTCAAGAGTGATTTTGGGTGTTTCTGGTGAATTTTGTTTTGGTTGGAAGGCCTAAAGTGGGAAGTAGAGTTGAAAGAAATTGTTGGACTACAGCCCAGATTTTGGGGGTTGGGGGGAGTTCAGCCATATCTCTTATCTGCAGTGCTGAGAGAATATTGCCGTTGCAGAGAATGGCAGCTTGGTGACCTCAGAGTAAAGATAATTGTTTTGACACAGGATTATTTATAGTAAAAGAGCCATCCTGAAGAAGTTGGTAAACTGTTATGGACCATTTCCTGGGAAAGGAAAAATTGTTTGTAGATATTTCTTTTGATAATAGTATTTGTAGCAGGCTTTTACTTGTGACTCCCAGTTGTTTTTACTCTATCTACTGCCAGTGTAGATATTTTATGGCTGTGAGATGGGCCTAAGTGAAAATCTGCATGCTTTTGTGGGAGCTACTCAGCTGCTGTAGGGAGACAACCGCCCTTTCTTTGGATGCCCAAAGTCAATGCAAAACTGGATTTGATGTGGAAGATTGCAGAGGGTGGGCAGTGATGTGCAGGAAAGATGGAGTCAGCCTGGAGGCCTTCTTGAGGCAAGGAATAAGAGAAAGCCCCAACTCACTGGGCATGCCCTATCACCAGGCCTTTTTGATGTGTGCATAATACAGTATATACATAGATGGGTACTCTGACTGCAGGATATTCAATATGCTTACAATCTTTGTAGATATCTGTACCAGTATTTAACCTGGTAAGACAGGAGGTTTTAAAGAACCTGCTGAGACCTCCTCTTTGTGATATTTGGACTATTTAACCCTCTTATTTCTAATATTATCTTTAGCAAGTAGAATTAATGTTCTCATATTAAGTGAAAATACTGAATTTTTAAGATTCCCTGGCACCTGATGATAGTTCAATACTGTTTGCAAAAGAGGATATGAAGAAATGATGTATTTATTATCTTTTCTAGTTTTGCAATCAGGTTTTATTTTTCCTGACTAGCCACCAACAGAATCTTCTGACCTATGCAGCATGAGACTAAAGCCCAGAAAACAGCTCTGGGTCCTAAAACCTTGGCAGTCTCTCTCTTGCAACTACATGGCTGCCCATTCAGTTTGGTGCCTTCCCCTGTGTGTTAGTTTCTGCCTGCTATGCTGGGGAGTGGCTGGTCTATTTTTCTGCTGTATTTGCTTGGATGCTCTGTGTAGTAGATGGGCAGTTGGAGAAAAGGCTAAAAATGAATAGCCGTTATCCATTGCCACTGTCACTACATGTTGCCCAGGACTCCAGAGAGTTTTGCTTCTTAGCCAGTTGATTATGAATTAAACACCTCTGATGTGTGAGAATCTTCTGTATGTGGGGATTCGTATCCTTCTCTGCCATTTACCTTCTTCTGATATGCAGTGTACCAGAGGAGAACACTATTGATGATGGTTCCTTTGAGGTTAGTAGCAGAAGGAATGACAGCTGAGAGATTTAGCAAAGCTAGCAGGGTTGTAGAGAAGTTGAAAGCTTAGACTGGTTCATGATGGGCCTTTGCTCAGTTGTCATTTATGAATGCCAGTGTGGCCACGAGTGCCACAGGTGGGCCCTTGAATATCTGTTGCTCTCTTTAAAGTCTTTGCTGATTCTCCCAAGTTGGGCCTTTGCTCCTTAGGATTTCAGTGACACATTTTCCCCCACTTATCTCCCTCAGCTTTGTAGTGAGTAGTTAATTGTCTAAATGTTTCATGTACTTCGTAAGTTTCTTTACAAGAGGAACCTGGGGCCAGGCGTGGTGGCTCACACCTGTAATCCCAGCACTTTGGGAGGCCGAGGCCGGTGAATCACTTGAGGTCAGGAGTGTGAGACCAGCCTGGACAACGTGGTGAAACCCTGTCTCTACTAAAAATACAAAAATTAGACAGATATGGTGGCGGGCACCTGTAATCCCAGCTACTTGGGTGGCTGAGACCTGAGAATCGCTTGAACCCGGGAGGCAGAAGTTGCAGTGAGCGAAGATCATACCACAGAGACACTGCACTGAGATTGAGTGACAGAGCAAGACTCCATCTAAAAAAAAAAAAAAAAAAAAAAAAAAAGAGGAACCTGGTCTTGCTCATTTTAGTATTCTCATAAACCATGGATATGTCCCACTTGCATCAGTTACTTGGTAAATCTTATGGAATTAAACTGAACAAAACTGGCTGTGTCTATGGAAATCCTGCAGCTAGTATCCATTTTTCTAGACCTACTGTACTCTGCCAAGAGGGCATCCCTTAGAGAAGCAGAGCACCATCATCAGAAATAGCATGCAAAAGCACACCAGTTTATTGTTGGCCTTTTTAAAAACTTTTCATGAAGCTTTTTGTGTGTGTGTGTTTGTAACAAAGCTTTTTTAAAAAAAATGAGGGCAGGTGGACTCACCATTGGCCTTAGCCACAACTAACAAGTAGCCAGGAAACAGGCACCTCCTACTTTCCAATTTCTACCAAGCTCTAGGTAGAAAAGCTCTAGCTTTTTTTAAAAAAAAAGCTTTGTTGAAATATCATTCACATACCATACAACTCACCAATGTGACATGTGCATGTCAGTGGTTTTCAGCATGTTTACAGAGTTGTGCAATCATCACCACAATCAATTTTAGAAAATGTATCATCCCAAAAAGAAACTCAGTGCCTATTCCCTCCAGCCTCCCTGTCCTAGGCAGCCATTAACCTATTTTTTGTCTTGATAGATTTGCTGGTTCTGGACATATTTTGTCTGGCTTCTTTTACTTAGCATAATATTTTCAAGGTTTATCCCTGTGGCATGTGGCCAGCCTAGAGCTTGGTAGAAATTGGAAAGCAGGTGGTGCTTGTTTCCTGGGTACTTGTTAGTTGTGGCTAAGGCTAATGGTGAGTCCACATGCCCTCATTAAGGACAACCAGATGTATTTAGTGGAAATTCCGTAGATGTGTTCTAAACTTGCTCCTGTGAGTAATTATAAAAATTAAGATAATATCAATGAGCACCTAACTTAGTTCCTGGACAAAGTCCCTTTGTCCCACTTGAACTTTTTCGATTTAGTAAAATTTGCCAAAATGAAACAACAGATAGTTTGTAATTGGTACTTTGAGTTTAATGTACTGATTCTCCCTTTTGTTTTTGCTCTCCCCAAGGCTATGCCTTTCTGCTGTTCCAGGAGGAAAGCTCAGTACAAGCTTTGATAGATGCCTGCCTGGAAGAAGATGGGAAACTGTACCTGTGTGTGTCAAGCCCCACCATCAAGGATAAGCCAGTAAGTAATACATGGCCAGCTGTTGCTTTTCCAGAGCACATAAGCGATTGGAATAGCTGACCTCCTCCTTCTGATAATGGAAATGCTGGTAACTAGGATCCTCTTACCCAGCTTGGCCTTGCTATGCAGTAGAGTTGGACTTTCGTTGGTGATGGGAAACTAATAATAAATTACTCAGTATTTCATTTTATACCTTTGGGACTGTGTGTAAACAAATATGTCCTTGTCTTTCACTTACAGCTATTTTAAGCTAATTCCTATTCAGAAATTCTGAATTGAGGTAAATAATGCTCTTAGCGGTTTTGGCAGCTGGTTTCCGTCATTATTTCAGATCAAGGACAGGAGTTATTTATTTTTGAAAAAGGTCATAATTGTTGATGTTTGTGTGCCTCTGAATGCAAGGCATTGTGCTGGGTGGTACCCACAGCTAGTTAAATAGAGCCTTCTGGGTCAGGAGCTTACACTGTAAAATGGATAGTTTCAACAGAGCAGGAGAGGGGAAGGGCAGATAACGTGGAGCTAAAACCATAATACAGAGTTTGTGGTTAACAGTTTGTGGCTTCTGAGCCAGAGTATGAGTGAGTAAGTCACTGGATAAGGGAGGAAGATTGTGTCCTTTCTCTGGCAGAAGAGATATCAGTGAAGAAGGGGCAAGATCATGTTCAGAGCAGAATAAAAGAACTTTGTTTATTTGACAGAAGTAGGGATCTCTGGGAAGTTGGCAGGGGTGGGGTGAGGTGAGTTTGTATGTCAAGGCTTGGTGCTAGGTGTGGCAAATAGAGCAAAAATATGACACAGGGTGTGCAAGAGACCAGAGCTATATATACCAGAGGGCTTGCAGCGGCCTCTGTATGACTAGCACCAGAAGTTTGGGGCCTACTTAGCAGCTAGGTTTATTTTCAGAAATGTGCATGGGGAAATAGTTGGATTGAATATAGAAGTTTGAGTGTTGACTCTTGCATTTAAATATCTGCTTGGCTTTGAATAAATCATCTAATCCTTGCTGAACTGTGGTTTCCTCACCTGGAAAATGGGAAGAAGAATCATTCTTCCCTGGGTTGTTGAGAGGCTCAGATAAGAGGAAAATGAATATGAAAGCATTTGGTAGAGGCCAGATACTTGTACAAATTTAACTGGCTAATGTTATCAGTCCTACGTAGGATTCAATAGAGCAAGATTAGAACTCACTTACATGGCAATATCTGTTGAGAAGGATGATGACATCTTGAACAGGGTTTGCGACTGTTTGCTAAAAAATGATATTGGGACTTGGCCACATATAAAGGGGAGAGTGCCGCACTTAAAGCAGAAGAGAGAACTACTAAAGAATGGGGATATTGAGAATATTCATTGGAGAGTAAGCAAATGATGTGGAAAAAGAGGCAAGGATTTTAGCCAGTATAAAAGTGTGACTGTAATTTTCAAATCTGGGGGGCTGTTGCCAAATTTTGGAGTGGTATGAGTTTAGAAAGTCTGTACCCAAAGAAGAAACAAGCCCCTCTCCACACACACAAAAATCTGTACCTGGCCAGGTGCGGTGGCTCATGCCTGTAATCCCAGCACTTTGGGAGGCCGAGGTGGGCGGATCATGAGGTCAGGAGATCGAGACCATCCTGGCTAACACGGTGAAAACCGGTCTCTACTAAAAATACAAAAAAAAATAGCTGAGGGTGGTGGCATGTGCCTGTAATCCCAGCTACTTGGGAGGCTGAGGCAGTAGAATTGCTTGAACCTGGGAGGCGGAGGTTGCAGTGAGCCGAGATCGCGTCATTGCACTCCAACCTGGGCGACAGAGCAAGACTCCGTCTCAAAAAAAAAATCTGTACCCAGTTTGGTAGGGTCAGATATCTGAGAGGCAAATTCTCAACCTCCAGAGAGCCTCTGCTACTGGCATGTCAGTTGGAGAGAAGCTGGAGTGAGCTAGGAAGGTTTAAGATCACACGCTATAGGAGAGGATTAGAAATATATTTTTCTACATAAAAAGGCAGAGGGATAGTAGTACACATTGAGGTAGTTATGTCCACATAGGTTAAGAAGCTAGAGATGAGCACACAGAGTTTATATACCTTGGAAGAATCATGTCACTGGCTCTGTAGGGAAGGAGAATAACATGCCTTGTGGGACAAGCCTTCAGCTGGACAGGATGTCTCTTGAGCAGGGAGTGAGCAGCAGTAGTGGTCAGACGGAGGTGTTGTGGTGGCAATGCCATTACTCTTGAGTGTTTTCACTCGAAACACATGTATTACCCTTGGATTGAAGGACTTTTGAAAATAATTAGTAGAATTATCTGTTTTGGAAATGTTTATGGGGAAACTAACTTTCACTGTTTGTGTTTTGGCAAATTCTGCCTTATTACAGTTTTCATTTTCTGAGCTCAAGTGCAGCAGTTTTATTGTAGCTTGGTGAATTCTGAATGGTGACTGCCAATCACACATTTCTTTGACCCAGGCATACTCAGAATTTCCAGCATAAACAGTTTGAGTAAAACTTAGGATAGGAAACTTAAAAGTCCCCAAACACCTGCAATTTTAATGAACTGGATCCTACTTTGGGTTCCACTCTTTTGGCTTTATTTTTGAAACCTTCTCTTTCTTGGTTTTAGCTCCACATCTGCCACCCCCCCGCCTCATTTATTCATACATCCCTACCTAGGTTCTGGTACATTCCACCTCATTGTGCATGCTCCCATGAGGGGAAAAAAAGCAAGAACTGTGTTGAACCTTTGGAAGTAAATGAGGACCTTGGCAGTAGCTCAAGGCAAAGTCACACTTTGGAGCTCATTCACCGAACTTTTTTTGAGCCATGGCGCTTCCTTGCTCCCAGCTTTTGGCTTGGCTAGCCTTTATTTTCTACCTTTCAGGATCCCAGTGCCCTCATTCTGTTGTTTCATTCTTTCTGACTCTCCCTGGATTTCTTCTTGGAAATACACCATGTTCCAAAATGACCTTGCAGATTTTCTACCCTTTGTCTTTCTTTCTCATCGTTTCCCCTCAAACTCCTATTCCCTTTGGAACAGATTAATCAGATTGTTTTTCTAATGCAGAACCTGGTAGTGAGGTCTCCTTTCACCTATCTTGTCCAGGATCATGCTTGTTTTTTTAACTCAAATGAATTCCAAATTTGTGGATTTCAGGTTGTATTAGGGAGATATTTTTGGTCAGCGACTACGTTTTGTTAAATGACTCAACTCAGACTGTTCTGTGCATAGTTCTGGTCCTGAAAGATTGCAGAAGGAACTGTATTTATGGCCTGATTGATTGACTTCCTCAGTTCCAAAGAATGGGAAGACAAATTGGCAAGAGCAAGAAGAGATATTGAGGAGCTTCTAGATCTATGATTTTTTTTCCTTCTCCAGTAAGAGGAGTTTCATAGTTCAGGTATCCCAGGCATATGAGAAGACAGCTGTGTCCATGTGCAGCTGTGTCCAGGGATTCCAGTGAAGCAGGCAGACATTGTTCACAGTGGTCCTCTCATCAGAGTGACTACTTTTTGAGTATATTAATAGATTGAACCTGAAGGTTCCAGACAGCAAGCTAATAGAGCAAGGGACCTAGAAGGTCTATCAGAGATAGGGGCTGAAAAAGAGTAATCTTGAAAAGAAGGTGGGGAAGGAGCTATTTAAGATTCTAGAACATGTTGGCCGAAGATGTGGGATAGCAAACACCTTAAAAGGAGTATCAGAGGAGTTTCCTGCTTCCTGTTCCTTATGATTTATTTATAGCACGATCACAGTTTCTCTATATCCTGAAACACGACAGAATGATTTTGCTATAAATTTAATAACCATATTACCAAACTAAAGTATGTTTATGTGGGGATCCATTCTTTATGTTATTGCTCAGGTAATGTGGTCATCCACTTAAAACTTGAAAAACAAAAATTGAAAAGAATAAGGAATAAGAATAAGAATAATGATAAGGATAAGAATAAGAATAAGGAATCTGGAAATAAAGGCCAATTTAATTCTTCAGTTTTTAATTCTGTCCCATCTGTCTATCATTCTGGTGTTTCCTCCCCCTGTTTATATATCAGTGAGATTTGTAGCACTTTTCAGTCATTCCTTTTTAGTTACAAAAGCAGTCCAGATCCTTTTCCCAGCTATTTAAGACCTTCCCAGTCTGGCTTCAATTTTTTTCCAGCTTTGCCTTTTTCTGCTTTCCTTCTGAACCCCATATTTTAACCAAACGGAAATATCTGTGCTCTCATCTCGATTTCTTTCTCTTTCTTTCTTTCTTTCTTCCTTTCTTTCTTTCTTTCTTTCTTTCTTTCTTTCTTTCTTTCTTTCTTTCTTTCTTTCTTTCTTTCTCTCTCTCTCTCTCTCTCTCTCTCTCTCTCTTTCTTTCTTTCTTTCCTCTCTCTCTCTCTTTCTCTTTCTTTTTCTTTTTCTTTTTGAGACAGAGTCTTGCTCTGTTGCCTAGGCTGGAGTGCAGTGGTGCAGTCTCAGCACGCTGCAGCCTCCACCTTCTGGGTTCAAGTGATTCACCTGCCTCAGGTAGCTGGGATTACAGGCATGTGTCACCACACCTGGCTAATTTTTATACTTTTAGTAGAGACTGGGTTTCACCATGTTGGCCAGGCTGGTCTTGAACTCCTCATCTCAGGTGATCTACCCACCTTGGACTCCCAAAGTGCTAGGATTACAGGCGTGTGCCACTGTGCCCGGCCTCCCATCTCAATTTCTAATTCCTACCCTTATTTCAAGACTCCTCACAAATGCCATCTCTTTCATGAATCCTTCCCTGATCACCACGTCATGTATCGTGAATGTTACCTATTATTGTAGCTATCTCCAGCCCCATCTAGAGCCATCTTTTTAAAATGGTGTGCCTTCCTTCAGACCGTGTTTGAGTACCTGCTGTGGTCAAGGCACAGTACTGGTTACTATGAATCAGAATGTACTATAAGTTGATATAAAATCTTGTGTCCATAAGTATAGGCTGGGTGCGGTGGCTCATGCCTGTAATCCCAGCACTTTGGGAGGCTGAGGTGGGTGGATCACT